AATAAATAGGAAATTTTGTAATTATTAATCCCAACTTTCGCCCATTTTCTTTCATTAATCCCAACTTTCAATTATTATTGAATAATCCCAACTTTGGGGGGGCATTTTCTTTTATCAGGTCAAATGACCGGTGACCTGTTTAAAAGGTAATTTTTTTTTCTTACATGCCACATGTTGCAATTTCATTAGTTAATTTTTTTTAAAAAAAAAAACAAAAAAAATTTAAAAACCAAACCCACCAGCACCATAGCCCCACCGGAAACCACCATCTCCTTCCCCAACCCCACTGAAAACCACCGCAACCTCACCCCCCGTCGCCGACAACAACCCCCCAAGCCACCATTTTCACCCCTCGTCGTCGAAAACAACCCCCAAGCACCGCAACTCCTCCTAGACGCATCTCCACCCTTCACCCCGATCTCCCTCATCCACTCACGAAAACCACCAATCTCCCTCCCCCCACTCACGAAAACCTTAACAACATGGTGGGGAAGGGGCATTTGGTGGTTTTCGTGAGTGAGGGAGGTAATTCGCGCGAATGGTTTCAAGGGGACGGTGGTTTCAAGGGTCGTGGTTGCGCGGCTGGTGATGTTGGGGGTCAGGATTCGTGCGGCTGTTGGTTTTTGAGGGTCGAGGTTTGCGCTGGTGGTGGTAAAGAGGGTCGAGATTCGTGCTGCTGGTGGTAATGGGGGTCGGGATTCGCACTCCTGGTAGTAATGGGGCCGAGGTTCGCGTGAACCAGCTGTTTTAGAGGTCGTGGTGGTGCGGCTGGTGGTTTTGGTGGTCGGGGTTCGTCGATCGATTGGTTTTGGTGGCCCAAAGGCAGTGGCCGACGAGTTTAGGGGTGGGGGTTATGTTTCACGGTGGTAAAAGGGTGGATGGGATGTCAGGGTGGGGGTTAGGGTGTGGTGGTTCGATGAACGGAAGGGAGAGGTTTGGGTTTTTTTTTTCAATTTTTGTAATTTTCAATTTTTTTTTATTTTTTTGACCAATCAGGGCTTGACACGTATCAAGTTACTTATTATAATAGGTCATTGACTTTTATTGACCGGTCATGACCTGATAAAAGAAAATGCCCCCCAAAGTTGGGATTATTCAATAATATTCGAAAGTTAGGATTAATGAAATAAAATGGGCGAAAGTTGGGATTAATAATTACAAATTTTCCTAATAAATATTACAATCACCGTTAAAGACCTCAATACATTACTATAAAAATAATCCATGATGTTTATCCATGATGTTTAATCCATACTCATCATAATCACATAATTTGATCAAATTAAGACTTCTTGAGCAGTTAGCTTAGGCATATTATATAACTAAATATTATGTATACCAGTTAAGAAATTTTCCACAATATTTTCTCTGCCTTTTTTCTTTTATTCCACTTCACTGTCTAAATATACAAGTGATAACAATACTCCATAACTGTGTCCTTGATTCAAGCCAAGGATTACGTGTGCATAATCAATCTACTCCTAGTTTACATATATTTCATCTAATTATCACTTGGGATTACGTACACAATATTTATCAATATCTCCTAATATGGTGAAGTATATCCTCTAATTTTGAGATATAATTAGGAAATTATATCGTAACAATACTCCATAATAAATCAAAATTAATTTAAATTTCTTTAGCATTAAACATTTAAACCTATGTAAAAACACATGTCATCTACAATACGTAGTATAAGATATAAACATATACCATGAGAAAAATATTATAAATAACGACTTAGGATCTAGTTTAGATAAATATATTTATAGTAGATTATCATGATGATGAATAATAGATAATATTAGATTATTAATAATAAACATATCACATAAACATAACAAAATCATGTGATAAAGCTAATTAAGTTTGATAGCAATGAGCCAATGAGTAGGCATAATCACGAAATAAAAACAATAATAATAGCATAATTTGTTTGCTATACTTTATACAAAACCAAATACAAAGTAAACAATTAGAAGCAACAAAACTTATACAAGGTAAAACTAAGATTATTCTTGTAGTCAACCTAAACCAATGGAATAATTCATTCAACCAAATGCAATTCTAATACTTTGTAACATAGTTTATCACATGGATTAACAATCATTATTTTCTCAAAATCACACTTACTTGATACTCACTCGACTTCAAAGGGAACTAAAGAAGTGATGAAGGAAAAACTCTCAGGTTTATGATAGTATAAAAGTATTCGAGTCTTCATTAAATCCTATAACATATATCTAATGTTCAAACTTTAAGAAGGGTTTAATTAACATCTTATGTATTTTATTGGAACTTATCTAAATCCAAAAAAATATAATCTACAACTATTAAAACAGTTCATAACTAATACACTTGAACACTCTATGATGGTGGTAAACCAGATACAATTGAAAGCAACATGTATACATTAGATCATCACATAATTTGACGGAGATTGATGATGAAACCATCAGCTAATATCATTCTCCAAAATTATAGATATTCGAATAAGACAAATTAGCCGAAACAAAACAATATTAGACATATTCAAATACGACAACTTAGCTGAAACAAATCAATAGCAATATCCCATATCTAACGAGCTTCATATTTCATTCATCAAAAACAGAGCATATAAATTAATCAATCACATGACTAGTCTAATACCCTATAATTAATTAGTTTATTTTAAGAAAGACAATAATCTGACAAATTCAATAAAATATGGAGAAAAGAATATAGGGATACCCGTAAAGTTGCTATTAAACTCGTCTCCTTAGCCGGGTAGGGTTGATTTTGTTTTATCATATATTTTTGCTTGAGACGACACCCAATTGACGAGACAAAGATCAAGAAGGAAGTACAATATATTGCTAAACCCAAATAACTTTCTTGCATACGATGAACTGTCACTCAAATCGAAAAGCAATTATGTATATGTATATGAATCAAAAGAATTATTAATCATTTAGAGCTTTGGTGCTGATAACGTGTTGTGAAATAAGGGGGAAAGATGAGAGATTGAGAGAGAATTGATCTGTCTATATTATTCCATATATTAGGGGTATATATACACAGAATATAATAAGTAGGGTTTGCTTAGATAACAATAAACCCTAGATCTAGAATAATCCGGAAACTTACAAAGAGGATAATGGATATCCACACAATATTTTCATAACAATTACCCAAATTATTATTTTTTATTTTATTTTTTTTTTACAAAAAAGGAGAAATACCTTGACCGTACATCAACCCATACGATTTTTGTCCAGAATTTGCAAGTCATACACTTTGAGAATGATGGGAAAGGGTAAAGGATCCTTACCCTCAAAGTGTATCTAATATCTCCAGCGACAATCTTACCACTAAACTACTCTGTCCTCTCATTAAAATAAAAAAATATTAAAAAATCACAACAGTACAATCCCCTCTATCTCCACCAGACCACCACGTACATCACGTATTTGGCCCTAATTTTTGTCTTTTTAATTCAATTAATCATTAAAATAAATTAAGTTGATGCCCCTTAATGTCAAAATCAATATAATAAACTCAATTTGTTTGGAAATTCATTTGGTGCTATTTGGTTTCGTATTTGAGAATTAAGACCATATCCAATGGCGAGACTCAAGTTTGAATATTGAAATACAAAATGAGTTGTTTTTTACCTCCAATGGTGATACCATAGCTACTTCTCAATTTAGCAATTCATATAATGTTGAAATTCTCAATGGTGATACACTGATACTCTCTAAAATATACAAATGTCACTTTCAATTTATGACACATCAATTGTTGTGAGATTAAAAAGTAATTAAAAAAAAGTAAAACTTAAAATAAATTACAAAATATATTAGAATATTAACAAAGGCCTACACTTATGTGAAATGAGACTCAAAGTTGAGTATCTAAACTTAGTAGCTTTCTTTTGGAGTTGTTAAGTTTAGATACCAAATTATTGGTATATATTGCAAAAAATACTCTTTCTCTTCTAAAAATAATCACTTGAGTTTCACCATTGGAGAGGCCAGGGTCTAAGGGTCTGTTCTCATACGTTGAAATTCAGTTCAGTTCATTTCAGTCCAGTTTAGTTCAGTTCAGCTCAGTTCATTTCAGCTCCCAATTTCCTTCTCTTATAAAATATTCAGTTCAGTTCTGTTCATTTTAGTCCAATTCAGTTCAGCTGAGTTCAGTCAATGAGAACATGCCCTAAAATAGCTGAGTTTTGCTTTGGTTGCTTTTGTTTTTCTTGGATTTTGCTTTTAACTATATGCCAATTTAGCCGCTCTCAGCAAGGATTATCGTGCCAATTTATGTACTAAAACATCTACCTTAGTAGTTTATGTATTAAGAGTCTGTTCTCTTCAGCTTATTTTTCAGTTCAATTCAGTTAAGCTCCAATAAGTTTAATTCGGTTAAATTCAATTCAGTTCTTATCTTAATTTTTTTTTTCTCATAAAATATTCAATTTAATTCAGCTCATTTCAATCAATCCTAATAGACTCTAAATATATCAATCAACAAATTATTATTATTATTATTATTATTATTATAGGAAAATGGAGCAATGATGTCATTCAAATAGTAAGTATGACTACAATATCTCTACAAAAGCAATAGACTATCACTGTCAAATTAGCAATGATGATGGCAAAGTAGTAAATTAATAAGATTACTTAAATGATTATTGTTATTGCTTGATTGGTTATATAGTGTGAGTTAATACTTTTAAAAAAATTGATAATCACGTAAAAAAGAAAAATGATACATACTAAAACTCGTGAAACATATATTATCTCTTGAGTTTGGACATATAAAGGGTACATGATAATGTATTTTATTTTATTTTTATACATCTATACGCATGACATAATTTGACATCAGCTACATTTGGAGTGGCTGGGTTACTTTATTGCCCGTTTGGTTAAATCCAAGTAAGTTGCCAAGAAACCTGCTAGACTATAAATACCATACCTTTCAAAATTAAGACAAGGAAACCGCAATGCTTATTTGAAAATAAACACTATTTACTAAGCCTAAGCCAATTAATTATAAACATCAACTGGGAACATAGTAACATACCCAGCAATGAAGTACTGTTTGGAGAAAACACAAGGCCAACTACAACAACCGATAAGTTAATATATTACAGCCATTACAGGATAATTGCAGTCGAATTTAGTTAAGAGAGCAACTGATCACGCTCAAATAGACCTAGCAGTCTGCCGAAATCTAAACCTATTAGTTAGTTTTACATTGTAATACATACATTGACACATTGCAAGTGTATAACAATAACAATGCATCTTAACGCATCATCTGGCGGAGAACTGATGGCGCAAACAATATAGGTTTTTCACCCGTACTCTTCAGATATATCTTCCACAAGGCATCTCCAGCAACTTTCCATGCAAAGCCACATTTTTTTGGGTCCTTATTATCAATTGCATAGTCATAGCAAACATGATATATAGCCAATGCTTCAAGACGAATCTCTTTCCAAGCTTTTTCAATCATGTCCGAATCATATGTATCAACACCACCATAAAGTTCCTAGTAATGATTCAAACAGACATATTAGAATAAATACCAGACCATAACAGAGTTCCAAAGCAAAAGACATGCACACATACTGGTTAATATTACCTTTCGGTATTTCTGATAAACAAAATCTGCATTTTTAGATTCATTTAGTGCCTTCTGCATCTCGAATCTGTACTTGTCGTAGTGATTTTTCCACAACACAATATACATTTCCGGAATATTAGCTTCAAAGCACTCTAGCTTCCTAACTGGGGAAAAAAAAAACCAAAAAACACAGTTCAAAAATTTCGCCACTTCAAACTGAGTAGTGAGTAGCAATACTAGCAAGAGTCAGATAAAACCGAAGCTTGATCATCCATATCCAATAGATGATCAAGCTACAGAGAAGTGCTGCTAGTGTGTTGACATAACTGGTGTTGCTTGGGCAAAAGTATGGCACAAATGTTTTTTGAGGTCCAACATAACAAAACAGTTTTACGTGTAAAGTACAGACACAAAACCACATTAAAAGCTTGTAAAGCATTAACGGGAGGACATAAGCATCGTCACAATTTCACACACATTCTAGCAGTAAAGTAATAATCGACTAATTTCCTTAGTATTTTAAATGGTAGTTGTAGGGGTATGTAATGGAGTGCAGTGATATTAAAGCTACTATAAAAGAAGCTAAAAACTTTGCATTAGCAATTGAATTATGTTGCATTATAATAATCTACATACCAAATCAAGTACAAAGTATAAAACAGATGAAAATGTAAGAGCTCACGTTTTATTGGAGCACTCAGTTGATCCACTATGTCATGAATGTCACCCAATATAGACTTGGATTTGTAGGTGCAATGCTCGCCTCTTCCCATGAAATGAGGATATCTGGGTGGTTTCAGTCTCTCTGGAACATTTATCTGCAGATACCAGGTCATAAAAGATAGAGAATTAAGCTGACATAAGAAACAAGACAAATTGAACAACTTGACCAAATCTATGCCAGGACCAAAATCATTACTAATGAACATCATTTACATGCACTAAGGGACTGTTGTCATTGACTGAACTCAGCTGAACTGAGCTGAAATGAATATTTTATAAGAGAAGGAAATTAGGAGCTGAATTGAACTGAGCTGAGCTGAACTGAACTGAATTTCAACGTATGAGAACAAGCCCTAATTCAACTTATGTAACTTCATCAGTTCAACTATTAGGTGCATACTGCATGAAATTCCTACATTGCTACCCTCCTTAACAACCACTAATTCAGAAACAAAACTACTAAAGAAAGTTTCATTGAGCCCAGAATAACAAGGTTTCACAAATTGGATTATTGTGAGGCAGTGTACGTTAGCAGAATTCACGACAATTTATTTATCACCGAACGACGCTCTGCACAGTGACAACTTGAATCAACTATGACTAGGTTTATTTTTTTACATGCCATACTGAAAGGTAAACAGCAACAGTCATTCAGGCTTACTGCTAAAGTAGCAAAAAGACCAAAGGCAAATTTAGGTATGGGACAATCACCAGCCATCAGTATTCTTTATGGTATGAGGAACTGACCGTTATACCCTTTTTTGGTGCATCCAAAGCATCATAGTATAGGTCAATCAACTTATAAATTTTTTCCTTCAGAGCAACTTTTTCATCAGCGCATTCGTCTCCCAATGTCAACAGTCGATCCATATACACAATCCACCAATCTGCAGCAATACCCATAGCCTTGCTGAAAAAGAATTGCTCAACATTAGCAATCACATATATGAGTCATATGAATACCATGAGCAATAGAACAACTAAAACAATTCCTTTTGAGCATTAGGAAATCGAGAACTTAGAACAATCCTCTTTTGACTATCAGACGATTGAATAAAACAAACTTTATTAGACAATTGTGAAATTACAATGATCTGAAAGTTTTTGTAAACTTGAACATACTTTGGATGAAACCTAGTATTTCTGTATTGACGAATGAGTTCTAGCTCCAATGCCTCAGGTGAAGGAAGACTTTTCTTGTTGACAATTAGCTGAGAATTACTTTTCCAAGGCTCACTTGGTTTGAAATACTTCAGAAGCTGAAAAAAAAAAAGATCGATGAGCCTAGCTTAATCATTGTGAATAAAAAGAACACATAAAGAAAAACATGATTTGGTCAATGAGGCAGTTCAACTTAAATCCCAAAAGAACAAAAGCTGCAGGAAGAAAGAATAATGCAGACTTAAAAAGCCTTCCCTAATCAGTTATTTCAAAAGATGAGGAAGCAATGATTAAACAGAATATTTTGTCATCAATGAAAAGTAAAAAGATTTGTCTAAATACTGCTACTAATATGAGCTTCAAATTTTGACCATGGAAAAACTGAACCAATTACTTGCTACGGGTACAAAACAATCATCTTAACCTCCCAAAAGATTTTAATATTATTTGTCTAGTTTTAAATCCGGACTAAAAGCTGGATTCTGAAGGGTTAGAGTCTGAGGTTGAACTACATTGATTTGCAATGTCATTTTAATTCCGGTAAAAATATTTACCATGGGACGCTCATCAAAGGATAACTCTGAATTCTTGCTTGAAACATGCAAGGCAAGGTGAGATAACTTGAAAGGGTGCGAAGAATTCATTATACTAGTATATACTCCGTACTAAGAAAATATATTGCAAGAACTGTAACCAAAGGTTCAGAAAACAAGTTGAAATACACTAAATCAAAAGATAATTTTCTGAAATACTCAATAGTTATTGTAGTATATTATTTGTTGAGTATGATGGCAAAGAGACTATAAAAGATGAACATGAACAGAACACAGGTGCAGACCTCAGAATTCCTGGAGACCCAGTACATGTCTCCATCATAATCACCACCAGCGATTTCATCAGCCATGGACCTTAGCCCCTTGGAAGGAAAAAATATTCCATATTTAGCGTTTCCTACATATTCCTTCAAACCCTCAACATATTTTGCAGTCAAAATATGAATATCGCCGGGGTGAGTGCCTGGATTTCTATAGACTAATACTGGTCCAGAAATTTGTCCCTGATCCCTACATGAACAGAGAACAAAATTGAGTGAGAGGATACAATTTATGCATTTGGTATACTCGAAATTTTAAAGGGTCAATTCAAACTCAAGCCTAAAGAACAAAAAAAAAAAAAGAAAAAAAAGTTGTCTATAGAATGATTTTACTGACATGACATCAAGGAACATATGCCAGGTAATAAGATAGAGATAAATACATACAGAATTATGCAAACTTCACCAGCATTCAATGTTTCAGTGGGATCTGCTGTTCCCATTAAATAGAAACTGTCACTAACTGGAAGTTTCCCTCCTTTGAGACTTTTCATTTCTTCCTTTGCTATATCAGATAAACGATGTCGAAGAAATGGCTCATCCAGAGGAATTCCAGATGCAATCATCCGTGCAACAATAAACTCATCAGTGAAATCCCAATTAACAGCGACTGCATATATTATCAAAAAGACCAGGAAAGAATGAAAGAAATTAGAATATTTCCATAAAACTGGTCTAGGAAATCAGAAATTGACCAAAATTAAACACAAATGGGGATGGTCTTGATATATTACTTCAATTTAAGTAATTGGCCTACTAAACAATTTTTCAATAAAGAAGAAATAGAAGGGATGGGTACAGAATCCTGATTAGGCAAAGAAATAAAACTCAGCAACATTACCTCTTGTTGCTGCTTTAGTTCTGTACAAAACAGACCAAGGTTTGGTAAGAGCCTCCCACAGCATAGCCAAAAACACATCTTTTGGCACCCCTCCATAGCTAAGCAGTGCAATCAGGTTCTTTGATAGAGCAGCATCCTTTGGTTTATTGCTAGAAAATGACAGATAGTAACAACAATTACGAACATGATATGTTATGATTACACAACAAGGCAGTAAACTAGTATGATAAATAAGGAGGAGGAGAGACAGTGTAAAGAAAATGGTTTTCAACTATGAAACACGAATACGGCCATCATGTGTGGCCCAGCTTGGATGAAGGTACCATTGAGTTGCTTTGTAACCATGCTTATGGAAGTATACTTCTATTAAGGCGATTAATGAAGCTTGAAAAATGACTCTCACTAGTAATTTGAAGAGCAGTACCACCATCATATTTTTGAGTTAGCTTGGTTCAAAAACATGAGTATAAGATCTTTAGGCCCAAATATTCATGTAAAGCTTGAATTTGGACAATGAGAGAATAAGGATTTAGGAATATACAACAGTAACTAGGCACTTTGAAATGTAGCAAACTAAGTAAATTTTCAGTGGTTTACCTGGTTGCTACAACCTCAAACGAATTTACGGATGGAGCATCTGAAAGTTTTTCATCAGATTCAATTTTTAACATCGACTTTCGAACTTGAATGGTAATAGGAGGAAGCTGGAGGAAAAAGGAAGGAATGTCAACTGCTTATATAAAATGCAAAAGAGGAATGAGTTCAATTAGATTAGGTATTTCAAGAGAGTCCAAAAAACGATCTACTATATAACATGGCGAGATAGCAAGTTATATTTTTTTTTTGAATAGAGATAGCAAGTTATATGATACAACTGGAAATAATAAAAAAAAAAAAAAAATGAAATTTGAACAATATACATAACCCAACCACCCTGCTTGCCACCCCAAAAATAAAGTACAGTATAGAAGAGTGGATAATTTACCTTTCTGTTCACGAGAACAGTTCCCTTTATAGCTTTACCTTTGTGGAACATACGAAACTGTATCAGCAAAGGCTGAAAGTAGGAGACAACAGGAAAAAATATATCAATTTCATGCAGAAGGATGAAGCGACACAGACAATAAATGTCTTAAAACATTAAAACCATAGATAGCAAGATTGTTGTAAATGGACATACCGGCACACTCGGAAGTGATCTCAACTCTGTTAATCCAGAATAGTTGTCAGGAAATTGAAATGCTTCTAAAGATCCATGCAGGCCCTGAGATGTAAAACAACATTATTCAAACATAGAGTAGAAAGAAGACTCACTACTCAATTCGAAGGCGAAACCCCTTGCTGCCTTTACAAATATTTGATTTCCCCGGGCTAAAGCCCTCCCCCTCCAATGGCCCTACAGTCCATTTCCGGGGCGCATCGGGAGAATTGCAGGTAAAACTATGTCCCTTTTAATACAAAGCAAATGGAAGGCATAATTGCAGTTAAGTGATGGACAAAAAGTACTGCATCAAATCAAACTTGTTACAAATGAGCCACAATAGCATTGTTTTCATCATTATATTGCATAATTGCATACTGATCTGTTACCAAATTATTGATTTTGCTTAGGAGGCAAGCAACCTAGATCCGTTCAGGGACAAAAAAAAAAATTAAGGGGGTGACTATAAGTCTGTAAGACTATAACCCCACATTTTGTCTTTTTCAAACTAACAGTCAGTAGTCAGATGGTAGAAGCAGGGAAGGACTTTAAAGTTCTGAAGTTTACGGAAGGGTTGACATCAATTAACAATTTTGTTCTATTTAGCAGATTTATTGTAATACTTCTTAACAAAACCTTAAGCAATATCGACCTACTGCAGTATGGTGTGAATAAAACACATTGGAAGCTAGCATTCTAGCAACATCACTCTATATAGAACACAACTTAGGCAGTTATCTTTATAAAAAAGCAAGTTCTCTACAAATTTACCAACTACAGATAACATGCATGATTGTAAATGAAAATACATGTGGTCACTGTCTACTTTTACCAAGCTGATATTCCCCAACAAATACATAGTGGGTTGAAACTTGAAGGTCAACCATTGTAGTATAGTGAATTGCTGATATTCCCCAACAAATATATAGTGGATTGCTAAAATCAGCCATGAAACTCATAAAAATGGAACAAAAATTTACACACAACATAAGTAGTCTCGCACGACTGTGGCCTTTATGATAAAATTATGGTGTTTCCTCTCTTTATTGCTACAGTATCCACTAGCATGATGGTTTTATTGAAATAAGTCCCTCTATCAAGTGTGCAACTTAATAGATTCTCCTTTTTTTTTTTTGGTTATTGAAATGAATTGCTTTTGGCCTGTTTATAAGGCAGACAACACTTGAGGTACACTAGAGGATTTTGGATTAGAACCAATTCATTCCCCCTGTTTCTTTAACTGCATTCTAGTCCCACTACATCATCGACTTACCCAAATATTCCCATGCAATATGGTGTTGGCTTTTACTATACTACCAATAGTCCAATATTAATATGTCCCTTTACTCCTTAAGGTTTATCCCACAGAGCCCTCTGTCTGTATTTTTACCTTAAGTAAGAATCAAGACATTCTTATAATTTTAGCAGCAGGGTTCAGACAAAGTTGTTGATTAATTAAATGCTTAGAGCAAGTAAACTTGAGCCTGTACAATACAACAGACCTGATCATTCTCTTCATTGTTCACGTAACCATTAAAACAATTATGAGGACACCTTAAAGCAAGATCTTCAGAGATGAAACCAGTTCCATCTGTAAATATCAAGGCTTTATTATCTGTACCATAGATAATATCACCATTTCCATCCTGTCAACAACATACAACATATCAACAAAGGACCACAAAATGACCAGCAATATTAGATACATAAAGATAACAGATGCTTTACCCGACAAGGTACATCTTCAGTGATTTCAACACACAAATCATCAAAATTTAGCTCCAAGGTTATGGTTTTTGACAGTATAAGAGAAAACCTGCCAGCATGAACACCGACCAATGAGAACAAAGATCCATAGCTGAGCTAATGGACTAATATAAGTTCTTACTCTGGCAACAGACTGGATAGCATTGTGTATGTATACATAGATGACTGGTATAAGTTTTTACATTTTACAGTACCTTGCCATATAATTAGACGGATTGGTAGCCTTATGTATGTGCATGAATAAGCATCTTGCATCCTGGACTGATATCTTCAAAAGTTGAGGTGGTTTCCTTAATAGTGTTGCAAACCCCTCCATACAAACAAAATAGCACTTTACGGGACTAGAAGTCGGATCTTTCATCTTTTCCTCTTTTCCGCCATCCTTATAAACTGATTATGGACAAAAAAAAAAAAGAAAAAAAAAAGACATTTAATTTCAAGGTATGATCAAGCTCATCAAGGAATAAATTATAAAGTCACGTCACATTCAAAAAAACTTATACCAAAATAATTAGTTTTAAGAAAATAGAAATTGTACCCCCAAATTCTATTCTTAATGCATCACACTTTCACACAAATGGATTTCAACAACTGCCACACATGACTAACAAATCTTTGACGACCTTAGTAAGTTGAGAGAAAGGAAGGAATCTTATGGTCTATTTATTTTACCTGTATTTATGCGATCTCATCAAAAATAAAATTTTGAAATATTAAGAACCTAGCAAAACTTTTCTTAAGTTATGTAATTATTATATCCTTCATCTTGTTAAAGTCTTGTACCTAATAGCACTCTCGACAAACCAAGCTAAACAAATACAGAGTAAATGGGAGAATTTACATAAGAAATGAATGTAAATCAAATGCTTGAATGGGACATTTCTGAGGGTTGATGGAAAAACTCCAACTATTTAAGATTTGCATGTTTTCATTTCTATCCTAGTATTTGATTTTCAACCTAAGTATTATGTTAGAATGATTCTAATAAGAGTTCTGCAATTTGCAGAAGCTCCCTATCAAACACACAATTGCTGCCCGAGGTGTAGGGCAGCCAATATAGTCATAGTTGTCATCCTAGAACCAAATCCAGAAAATTAGGGCAACCCTGCATTTAAATATAGGACCGGATTTATATAACCCCATCACCCCTACAAGTTACTAGATCACTTTTTATAACTTCAGATATTCAAACAACGGACAGCTGCAAGATAAAGTTACAACATTGAAAGAACAAAGGAGTTCTAATAAGGGATATTTGAAATTCTTGGTTAAGTAATTAACTAAATACCAATGTGCATGCAGCAACTGCTAGCTACATGTTTGTAATAGTATAAATTTAATGCTTCACATCATTGCAAATTTTTGAGCCAAACCCAAGAACCTCATAAAGTTCAAGATGAAATAATTTGCAAAGCTTTTCGATCTTGATGCAACCCATCATCTTCTAGTTGTTAAATTAACCTCACGCTAGTGCATCCTCAGAAATATCAAAACAATTATTTAAAAAAAAAGAAGAAAAGAAAAAACAAAACTCACCAAAAAACTGGTAACACTTTTTACCAATGAAAATTCCTTCAGATATCTTATTAAAAACCGAACTTTGCATCTTAGCCTCTGTTCCTAGGCTCTCTGTTTCTTGCTCCATCAACTTCACTATTAGTACATTTTCATCTCCTACAACTTTCTGTAAGAGTGTAGCTGCCTTGTTCGGGTATGGACCCTGCATCAGCATCGCACAGTATAGACTCAGCAATTTCTAAGTACAAGTAGTTTAAAAGAAGAATATGACAGTATCAAAGCTTTCAAAAAGGATTAGCTGCTAGGCAATGTAAACTCATGAACAAATGAAACAAGAACAGTAATAATTGAATTGTTCAAGAAGTTAAAGAGAACAAACAAAGAAGAATTTACCAATAAATTTACTCATGCAAACAATCAATGGTGTACATGATGAGCACCCAAGGTAAGAAAGGCATGCATAAAAATTTCTACACAAGAACTAACAGGAAGCAAGAAGTATGAACCTTGAAGCGACAGTTTCCTTGTGCATCAACATGACAATGGTAATTGTACCTTTCTCTAGTTTCCCAGTTCATCTGTAACACCCGAAAAAGTGCAAGAAAGAGATGAGATACAGAGCAAGCTATCATACTGTAAAGTAATAAAACCCATGAGGTGTGAAGAAAACAAGGTAGTCACATACTACCATGCACCATCCCCTGAATATAGCTGAAAAGTTGCAAAGCAGCACAAAGGTTAATCACCGCAATTAGTCAATAATAGTCTTACGTGTACTCGTCAGCAAAGGCCGATGTTTCACTAACATTAAGACTATATGCTACGGCAATCAACTGAACACTAAACACAGTTTCTCATGAAATGTGAATATGTAGCATCACCAAAAATGATCAAATCGATTCAGCTAAGATTCTATGTGGAGGTGTGTAGACATACTTTACTTTCCCATGGTACCATGACCTACCAATAATAATGTCCATAAACAAAACTTTTTGTGTGCATTTTACTAGCAGTTATCTCCATCACAATTACACGGTTATACCTACTTGAGCATGACACAATAAAATAGATGTGAAATAGTAAGCACAATGACCTTAAGAACTCGCTCTTTTTCCTGGCAAATGCTTTTACCAAAATCATTCCATATCTCAACCTCAAAGTCCCTCATAGAAAGCCTTTGATAACTCATAATTTGATCAGCAGAAACAACATCCTCCAGCTTCAATCTGCACAAAAAAATACCCTTAATTTCTGAAATCGTAAATCAAATCAAATCAACAAGAGTCATAGATTTTAACATTACCTCCCAATGTAGTTCAAAATTAAGAAAGCCTTTCGGAATTCAAGTTTCTCAAACGCGTCTAACACAATCTCTCTTCTACTATTGGGTACATTAGGCTCCCCTTCACCCTTAGCCGGCGAGTTAAAGTCACACACCCGCCTTGCAGTACTTACACCACCTAAGGAAACAATCAATATCAGAGAGGGTTTGTAACTTGTAACACAACTCTTGATCAATATTCTCAGATATAACATACCAGGATGATCTGATTCCCTCTTCCGTTTATTCTCACTTGATTTATTCCCTGGAAAATTCAAGTGTTATATAAAGTCAGTAACTCAGTATTTTACATTAAACACTATTAACATGCTATGTTACTTGGACTCGGCTTTTAAGTGTATAATTTCCCTATTCTCCACACGGACCATACTCATGTCGGAGTGTCAAGAATCCGACAAAAATATGAAATGAAGAGCATATGTAGCAACAATAGCATGCTACATGATGTAAATTTAAACTAGCCTATGTTACTTGGACTCGGATGAAGTGTCAAATTAGACACAGGTGTCCAAGTATCGGACTCGCCCATTTTCTTGAAAAAAGTTCTGTTTTTAGTTAAAAATGAAGTGTCCAAGTGTCGGTGTTGGTGTCCGACACAAGCCTTGTCGACACGGACACGTGAGGTAAATAAAAGAGTCCGAGTAACATAGAAACTAGCTGAACAAATCAAGTTTTCTAATTTATCAGGTGCAATTCAACAAACCAATAGTACTACGGAGTACTACTTAGGTCATGTTCTTTAACCTTTCATTCATAATAATACAAAATGAGTAAATGTTAGTAAAATCCGTAACCGATAAATGACCAAACCAATAAAAAAAATGTTTTAAATTAAAGGATGGTTCGGTTTACCTTATTTTCACTTACGAAGTATTTTAAGTGTAATGTAATAAGTTCAAATAAGTTAATTTAAGTTCAAATCAAGAAAAATAAGTTTAAGTTCGGATAAGGTTATTCAAGTACAAATTACAACTAAATAAGTTCAGATAAGTTTAAGTAAATCAAATAAAATAAAATAAATTCAGATAAATGAAACACACCTAATTAGTACTCCCTCTATCCCCAAAACTTCGACCCTTTTAGGCTGGCTTTGCAGTTATTAAGAAACTTAAATATAAATAAATAAAAACATGTTGGGAAGATAAATTTGAATTGTAAAAAAATAGAGTGATAAAGTATTAAAAATACATAAAAAAAAAACAAAATTTTATACAAGGAAGCTAATTTTGCACAAAAATTGTTATATAATTTAATTTAATGAGTCCGATTATTTTGAGGCTAAAATTAGCCAAAAGGGTCGAAATTTTTGGGGACGGAAAGAGTACAAATGATCTAACTTCAATAGTAATAATTAAATTTCAGTTAAAAAAATAATTATTACAGCAATATTTCAAACAAAATTCAAACATGCAAGGAAAAAGACATTGATGATGAGAGAGTACCTTGAGGAGTAACAGCAGGAGAAGGCGGAAGCGGAGATTGCGGAGAAGGAGGAGAGAAGCGATGAGAATTGTTCTTCTTAGCCAAATGAACAATAAATCCACTTAAATTTCGTATAGTTTTTGAATAATTACGAATAGTATCAAGAATTTTCAACGATTCTTGTTCGCCGATATCAGATAAATATCTAATCGCGACGGCGCTCGCCGGTGGCTGCGATTTCTCGTAGTAAATTGCGTGCAGCTGCTCCACCACCGCCGCCGGCAGCCGCGGGAGGTCCGACGGTGAAACAGCCATTGATGATGAACAAAATGAGGAGAGAGAATTTGGTGACAACAAGGAAGTTTGATCACTGATCAGTGATATGAGTAAATAAAGTTTAATTTAATTTCCCGCTACTTTGATCACATAATCTTTTGCTTCTTCAATAAGTTTCTTTATGTACGTTCACTAATTTATTTACTCCGTATTTTTTTTTATTTCCCGCTCGTTTGATCAATCTTCTTTGATAAGCTATTCATGAATAGCTTGATTTAAATGGTAAGGTTTGTACCTTTCAACCTTAAGACGGATGTTCAATTTTCACTAAAGACAATTCGAGAGCGAGAATCCCTTACTATTCTTCGCTTATTGTCAAAGTGTCTAACCCCAATTGGTGGGATGAAAAACAATTTTCACATTTTTCTCCTTACATCCCACCCTTCCTACAAGGATTTTTTTTTTTTTGCAAGGAAAACAATTTTTACGATTGTGTTTTCTATTGTAAATTATTTTAAAAGTTTTTTTTTTTTTGTTGAAATAAACGGAGCCATAATTTGATTCAATAAAGTCTTGTCTTTAAATTCACGATGCCACAAAACTGCCAGTCACCTTCACCACAAACAACATTCAACATTTATTTTTTTACCCTTGTGAAAATGCTAAACCACTTTAGCCAACATCGCGCTACTGTAAAATAAAGGAATGATCACCATATACGGTGACACGGTGTACTGAAAACACTTTCAAGAGGAAGAGGAGGTAACAGATTATGGTAGAGGACTTGAGGAGGGGAGATCTATCATAAATTCATACTGTACAGAAAATATAATCTCAATGATATTATAATTCATTGAAATAAAATATCATGGCTATTGCTGCACACATTCAAACTAAAGCCAAGTAAAAAACACCTCCAATTTCTTAACAAAAAAAAAAAAAAAAAATCAGGAAATTTAGCCAATTCAACTACCTGAAGAATTTACACAAGTTCAGAAAATTGTTTGGCCATCTTTACATACGTATTATCAGATAGAAGAAACACCGATCTAAAACAAATGCAATTCTATCAATTTTGATTTTAAGAAATACTTCGTATATTTGTGTGTTTTATGACTACATATATGCAATCTTCGTCGCCTTGTATCTCCAAGAAAGCACATCAGTCTTACAGCTTTAAACGGACAAATGTATACAATCGACAACTGAACTTTGCACTCTGTCACTGTAGTGTCTGGAGAAGTTACTATAACTTTATAAGAGTTGCTGTTAGTTGGTAGAGGTGCGTCAACAGGAGGAATGCGAATAATAGTGCGCAACTTCCATCACTCTCCAAGGGTTCTGAACAAATGCCAAACAAAACACTAGCTACCGAAAAGTAATCAGTATTTTTCCACATGTGGTGGAGGTAGAAGGGCTTCCTGCACTTGAAAGCATATTGGTCATGGTAAATTGGGTTGAGAAAGTCCCATCGACCGAGCAACATCTTGAGCGGCAAAATCATCAGCTTGAGCCTAAGCATAGTAAAATGTTAAACATATATCTATTTTATTAGCCGTAACAGAATTCTAAGGAAGTGATGACATATTTACAATTCCCCCTGTTGAATAGGTTTGTGCCAAATCTCAAATAATCCAAAAGTTTCCTTTAGGAGAGATATAGATCTTGACAATACACAACATTAGAGCAAGAAGTTTGAGGCAACTCTCATGCTTCCAGGGTATATAATAGCAGTAATAATCCATTTCTCATGCAGAAACTAGCCTACACTGGCAATATTAATGTCGTAACCCCTAATACTAGTTGGTCAGATAAAAGTAAAACAGAAACGTGAGAATCATGAATCATTACTCAAAAACGAGAGGCAAATGAAGTTTGAGATAACTTCAACTCTGCAAGGTTATGAATAAAAATAAATTGAAGGAAAAAAAAAAAAAAAGAAGCTAACCATATTATATGCTAAAAATTAGCATAGATTCATCATGGAAAGTAGCCTTTTTCTGAGTCCTGACCCCAGACACTAGGTAGTACTGTAGTAGGTAGTCCGATAAAACAGAACATGAAGCCTTCATCAATTCATCTAGATCCCCCCCCCCCACCCACCCACCCACCCAACAACACCTTTCTATAAGAAGATCTTGATTCGGTTAGGTAATCAGCTGATCACCCTATACATATCTAGGCTTACATGACAGCATTTTTTTTAAAGATGAAAAGGAAACAAAAGGAGAGGTATAAAATAAAGTTAAAACATAGATATCAATTATTTAGTAGTTGCTACATGCATTTGGCCATACCTGAAGGCGATGCAACAGGTACATCAAGAACATATGTACAAAAACCTGAAAAAAGAAAATTGGCCCCGAGTTAGAAAAATGCAACATCATAAATGGAGGTGGGAGATTTAGCCAGTCTTACTAGATAACATAGCAGACCAACTCGAGCTCTAGGGTGCCGCCATAGAATCCTTGTAGCACTGACAGCACCAGAATCTAAAAGTTTTGCCGCCTTTCGCAACTGCAATGTGAAGATTCAGGGGGGATTTATTAGAATGAAACAAGGGACTGTTCAAGAATATAACAAAAATACTGGCACAAAACAAGAACGCTATAATGCAAAATACAAAATACCTGCATGCTAGCCCCAACCAAGTGACGTTGATGTAGTGGGAGAGGCCTGAAAATTCAGCTTTGTAAGAATATAATCCTCATTTGTGCAAAGGTTAATGCTTTATTATGGAGAAAATAAACTCGTACACAAATAAGTACATATGCCTCTGGCTTCAAAACTTTTCTATGATAAATCTATGATGTATTAGCCCATTAGTTCTTATGATGATTTAGACACCACTGCGTCAGCATTTTCAAGATCAGCAAGCCAAAAGGTAGATAACAGTATCTCCTAAAGTATCAAAATTACAGAGCAACCCAGGCATCTATGTGATTGAATAATAAGAATCACGGGATGTGTTTGAAGTTCCTTCTCTTATGTCAATTATTAGAAAACATGTTTTTTTTTTTATAAAAATACGAAGTAATAGTTATGGTAGAAATAAGGTTCTTATTATGGCAATAATAAGGACGGGATACACCACATGATAATAAAAATTTTCCAACAGAAAGATGCAAAACACAATGTGCTTATCGCGCTCAATATCATCTAATCCAAGCAAGGAAACACTGGTTTATCCTAAGTGATACACTGGCTAATTCATTTTCTAGATCTAACTTCTCTAGGCTGAGTTGAGGGCAAGTGACTATATCTCAACATAAAATAGCCTGTTTATTAAGACAGAAAATTGTGGATACAGGTAAAACTAGGGAGGACATACTCGAGTTCTCTCATGTCTGTTTCTTCATCCCAAGTTGTAGATGCCCGACGGGAAATCTTGTTTCTCTCTGCTTCCGCCTACAGACAAAGAAGCATTGTCAGATGCAAAACCAGGAAGTCAGATAAACAAATGTGAAATCCAGATAACAAGTAAAGGCTGATAGCTGTGAGAAACAAATAGAAGTGTAAGAACAGACCTGTACTTCCTGAAGACGTTTGATCTCCTTCTCTAACTGAAACTCTGCAGCAGCTTTTTCACTTGCCATTGTTTCAAGCTGTGTTTGCTTATAGTACTGACACAAGGTGGTTTAACAAACATGTCAGTTTTATCTACCCTGATTGAATAAGTCAGAATGTGCACAAGATGTTAATATTATATACCAATAAATCGGTTAATTCACGGTATCGCTTTTCAAGTTCCATGTGCTCCTGAAATCATCAAACACAAATTAAAGTTCATGATGTCCAGCTAAGAAAAATCAAAACAGAATGAGTTAAAAGTCAGAGTTGGTAATAAGAAAATGGTATCAACTTTGTTGCTTATGCGGCTATGCCTGACAATCCTTTGATTTCAGCTACCACCAGAGTCATCAATAATGTCATAGTTCTCATAACAAGATTAGGTGGTCAAATGTAAAGAATATTTTGGTTGTTGCTGTATGTTACAATATGTTCAACATTAGAATATGAGAGCTGTTGTTGCAAACCATAATACAGACAATTTGAACAGGCACCCAATAAATTTGATCTAATCTTTGACTCGGGCTTTTAATTAGCCAGTACTCAAATTATTGATGAAAACATGTTGAGACTCAATTCGTGTAGAATGATCTACTTCAGAGAGGGAAGAGATTTCTTCTTTACTCATGATGAACATTGAGTTTAACACGTCAATAATAACTAATGTTCTGAAGGTGGTGACATACATATTTGAGTGCTTCTGTTGAGTCAACTAGTCAAGTACCAACATTGCAGCAGGAAAACTATAAATCAAGGTTATGTCTCAGATTTATTAGCTATGAAGTTTGTCCATTTTTAATTAAGCTGAAAATTTTACCACTCTTTGACAACAAATAAATGGACTAAACCAAATTTGACTCAATAAACTATGCACACTTGTTTCTTATAGTGTAGTAGCAAAAGGTTGTGCTTAAATCAAGGATCAAAAAGATAAAACCTCTGTTTCCATTGGAGTACGCTGGAATAATTTTATACATATACACTATAACGGGTGACTCTTTAGAAAAACTTGGTCATGTTATTATTATACCCTATCAGCTATGAATTACTTGTGTGAATAATATCTTGAGAAGCTTTAAATCCAATGGATTAGAGCCCCAAAAGAATATGCTAAGCTAATTCTGTGAGAGATGACTGATTGATCAAGATAGACTATGTAATGTTGAAGTTGAATTATTTTGGATAGAGGATTAGGGGGTTCATTACATATACAAGGAGATCAACGCACGAGTGTCAGAGCTAAAATAGTGATATCATACAAAGTATTAATTGGCTACTTAATATTATGTGCCTTACGGCATTTAGCATATCAAAGCTTCTGATCCAAATCAAGCATCAGCAAAAGTCAGATATAGCTGACCTGACGTGAATAATGCTCAGCATCTCTCTTCATGGCAGCCATTTCAACTCTCATCTTTTGCAATTCAGCCTTTGACAAATGAGATTGAGATTCAGGTAAAACTTTCAACATATTTAAAGACACTCAGATAAGAATTATTCAGAAAGCGAAGACTGTTAACACAAGGCTAAATAAGTGCAACATGTAATACTCTGAGTTTTGACTCACATCAAGAGAAGAAATCTTGATTTCAGCATCTCTTTGACCCTGACGTGCACGTTCCACTTCCTGTTGCCATGTCTGTATCTTCATTTTAAACTCAGTAAATCAATACGCAGGAAAGGTGTTTAATCAAT